TATCTCTTATTTACGTTTTTTCTCTCACTCTCACTTTTCTCATCCCGTTTCAGCTAACTGATGACGTCGACTTGCTAGCCCTTAGTGTTGTAAGCTGACGACAACGACGAGAACAGCCCAAGCAACCACCCAGCAGGCTGTCATCACCGCCACCACCACCGTCACCGCGCGCGAAGTCTAGACGCACAGCGAACGACCAGACCTAGTGGTCGTGGTGCTTCTCCTTCTTCATCATCTCCGCCGCGGCTTCTCTCTCTCTTTCTCTCACACACACACCTCTCTTCGTTCTCGTTCACATGAGGACGAGGACAGGTAAGGTAGTCGTTCCTGCTCACCTCACCTGGTTGACCCTTGGGCTCTCTCTCTCTCTCTCCCCGACTGCGACTCTGACTGACATCACAGGAGACGGGACGAAAAGGTAAGCGGTAAGCGCCCTGGATCGACGGACGGAAGGACGGCGGACTGACTGAAAGAGTGAGCGAGTGAGTGGACGCGCCCTACCGGAGTTTCTCATGGGCTGTGTGTGTCCTGGCTTACGTCTGTGCCCAAACTACGACCCTCAGAACTAGGACAACGATAGATGGTGTATCGAAACTGTGACCCTCAGAATTAGGACCACGACAGAAGGTGCAATGATCATGTTCGGAATGGCAGTCTCGTACCGCCGTGTTTGATGATGATTATGCTTGTTCGGGGAAAAAATAATGACTGAACAGTTGATGAATGCGACGACGAATCCAGAAAATGTTGCATACTTCTGAAAGTTGTTGGACTTATGAATGCTGACAGCAGGTTCGAGTCCTATTGAGACTTTGTTATTATAATTGTTGTTGGTTGGGCTCGGTTGTTTTTTTCCTGTAACCTTGATTGCATAGAGGGCTTTTCAGACTTCCCTTCTGCACACTCGTATTGGAAATGGCCGTTAATTCGGAGATCTTGCTGTTGTAGTAAACTGTGAACTGTAATTCACAGATTCCTCCCAAGGTAAAAGAGCAGAGATAGAGATAAGAAAGGAGATAGGAGAGGATTATTTTTGAAGACGGAAATGCTTAACATCATCATCAGCACCACCACCTCCACCTCGGGATGTGGACGTATATGTACGCCCTGACGTTCCCCGATAAAGTCAACGTTCGATCAGGACAGCGATGAGCGGTGCGGCGCCTGGCCTGGGCGGCCGAGGGGCGGGAGATCCTGGCTCCTCCTACTCCTCCTCCTCGCGCCCCGTCTCCGCCCCTTCTTACACTTCGCCGGACCGTGCCGCGCGCCTGTCGCCGACCACCGTGGGCAGCGTGTTCCCGGCCCTGGAGAACCTACAACGGATCAGTCACGGCCACGCCTCGGCTTCTTCCGCGACGGCTGGCGGCAGCGGCGGCGGTGTCTCCTCGTCTTCAGCGCCGTCAGGGCGTGACGGTTCCGCCGCTCCTTCCCGCGTGACGCGCTCGCCCTCCGCGGCGGCGAGTTCTTCTTATTCCGCCCATCAACACCCCACGGCGCATCATCATCATCATCATCAGACGCGTTCGTCCACGTCAACTCCACGCGGAGGCGGCGGCGGCGGTGGAGGTAGCGGTGTGCTTTCGGCTATGTCGGGCGGACCCGCGGTCATCTCCCAACCCACCCTACCCACTTACAGACAAGCCAGCGTGGAAGGCCCCAGCGGCGGGTTCCTCTCC